TGCCCCCACCCCTCCCATCCCATCTCCACCTTCCACCCTTCCCCCTCCACCTCAGGCACCACCTCCCAACAGGGCGCCACCTCCCTCCCGACCTCCCCCCAGACCTTCTGTCTAGAACCCAAAGTTTGCACTCTGGGCTGTCTCAGAAACTTCGGGGAGGAGGCTCCTCTGTGGTGTTAGAACAAGTCTTTCCAGTTAGAGGAGATGAGTGGGGATAAAGCCCACTGACGTTCACACCCTTTAAAAATTGGTTGGCAATGCCCGTACACCGACAATCGTGAACAGCGGAAAGAAACAGAAATTTTGAACTGCCTGAAAACAAATGATGAGACAACTACGGTCACACTTATAGCCAGCCACTCACCACCTCTAGGTTCCAGACACAGTGAAACTGCCAAGATGCTCTCATCAGGATTCTATCTCATGGAGACCAGTAAGAAAATCATTTCTCTGAGTGTGAAATGCAGAGTTGGATAAGAAATGGCATTGCAGGGCTCCTAAGTGCTGCCTTCCCTCCTCCACCTTACCTCCATCACTTGGCCTAGGAACCAAGGAATCCTCATCTCTGTGCACCACCCAGGAAGGTGAAACTTTTGTCTGCAACTTTGGAAAAGCTTGGGGTCCCCACTGTGGCAAGAAAGTCAACATCAGACAGGTATCCAAAAGGATGTTCTCCTGGGATTTGCAGATGAATAAAAACATAGGCCTTATTTTCCTTTCAAATTCTCCCAGTTTCCAGGTGAGGAAGGGAGCAGGTATTTACTGATGGAAAAGGTACGTTGCCATGTTGGTGTGTAAGTGAAATCAGTTGTGTGCATTGACGGGGAGTATCGATTGGAGCATCAGACAGTTTCTAACACCCACAGGCCATCAGCAGCTAGAGGTGGATGACTTTGGCCAGACATGGTCCCCTAAATCAACAGACAATGATATCACCAAGGAACAACCTGTTAATGATTCATGTTGAAAAGCAAGGTTTGGCTTCAGTTTAAATCACTTGAAATATGAAGAAGTGATTGAGACAAACATGAGTTGATCATCCCAAAATAGCATGATTAGCACCTACCACACAATATCACTGATTTTTTTTATTTCTTTCCTAGTAAAGTTGCACACCAGAGACTTCTAGGCAGAGCTGACAGGCAATGGTCCTGATGTAACAAGGAAACTATCCCCAGGTTCTTTGATTAATCCCAAAAAAGACATGTACGTGTGGATCAAAATATATTTCTCCTTGTCTCTTCAAATGATCAGCTGTTAATCAAGGGGAAATACGCCAGATGTGCAACACAGAGATGCTCTGCCTGAAATTCCCACCATGTCTGGCACCCATCCCATCCCTCCACATCTTTTTGAATCTGTTGAACCAGTAAGCCCTGTAATCATCACCCAGGGGTGAAAACAGAGGTCATTGTTGAGGGCCTTCTGCACCAGCCTGTTCAAAATTATCTCCCCCTCCAGTTTTCCACAGGTCCCAAATTCCTGTCCCAAACCCCTTAAATTCTTAAGTCTTCTCTGGAACGAAGCAGAATATAAAATAAACATAACACTTACTGCTTTGGGTTACAGCTCCAAAGATCCCTCCAGAACCCATCAAGCTGGCCTCAGTCCCTCACCTCACTTAGAACTGACCCACCACAGCCTGGGTTTCATTCCATAAACACCAACTCTTGTGCCCGTGGCAGACAATGCTAATCAATCCCAGCACCATTTCCCATGAAGCCCAATGATTTCTCACAATTCTTCACAAATCACAACTCCAAAGAATTGGAGAGATGAACACTATTTGCCATCCCTTCCTTAGAAAGCAAAAACAGAAAGGGAGTCCAGGAGAGAATGGGGAAGCCCAGGAGCATAAAAGGAACAGTCAGGGGGGAACAGGTTAGGCAGAGTACCTTAGTGGGGCACCATGGCACTGATTCTGCAGTGCCAATGCCAAACTGACACGTCCAAGCACACCTCAGACCCTCACCTCCCGTGGCTGCCACTTCCAGAGGATCTCCCAGCCTTTTTATAGAGCTGAAATGAGAGACAGTTTTCAGGACTAATGAAAGCAACCTCCTTCCCCTCCACCCAGCCCTGCTGCATTGTCTATTTTTAGAACACTAGGCTGCTTCTTTAGTATAGTCCTTCACGAAGCAGGGTCCAGAATGTCTCAGCCCCCTGCAGTGACATTGCTGGGCCCCAGAAAACCATTCCATAGGAGAATGGGTTCCCCAGGCTCACAGCGTAGAGATGTTGAGCCCATGCAACTGTTTTGACTGCTGGCAGTACAAAACGGTCCATCCCACACCACTGCCGTGTGACTCACGCGGCCACCGGAAAGTTCAGGCCAAGATGCTGACATCGCTGTGCAACGAGACAGCAGGCATCAGGTGAGAATGCAGCATTCAGGATCATCAGATGCCCTGTGCAGTTTCTGAGATGTTTTGGTGAAGTGTTTTGATAAAATAGGGAACTGCAAATATATGATGATTTTGAAAAGGGTTAGCAGGGTTTGTCCTTAAAACTGACTCAATGTGTCATCTCTAGTCATTTAGAATTACAGTTAAGAAGGAGAAGCGTGTATACACTGCAGGAACAAGGTAATGTTTTTATTGTAGGCTATGACAGGCAGGAAAATTCTTTAACTGGTTTACAAAATCTCTCATTACTTGTGTCATTCCCTGTAAAAGACAAGAGACATATGATTGTGATCCGGAAACTGCACGAATTATTTTTTCACCCCCGTGTTATTGTCCTTATGAAGTGTTGGGTTTTTTTTAAATAAAGCCAAATTTTCGTTGTATATATTCGTATTCCGTGTGTTAGATGGAAGCATTTCCTATCCAGTGTGAATAAAAAGAACAGTTGTAGTAAATTATTATAAAGCCAATGATATTTCATGGCAGGTTATTCTACCAAGCTGTGCTTGTTGGTTTTTCCCATGACTGTACTGCTTTTATAAATGTACAAATAGTTACTGAAATGACGAGACCCTTGTTTGCACAGCATTAATAGGACCCTTGGTAAGAACTGTGGTCCCCTCTGTTGACAGCCAGCTCCACAGTTTCTTGCCTGGACTTTGGTACACACTCCAGTGAGGTCTCTCTTTTACCAAGGTTAAGAATACAGCTGGTGGATAAATTAATTAATAGTCTTGGATATCTGGCTATGGGTAATCTTGCAAATATCATTAGAATAGGCAGAGATGATCTCAAAGTGTCACTTACACTAAAGTCCAAACACTACACCAGATGGGGGGAAATCCATCAAAGATCAAGAAAAAATAATAATTACATGAGAAAATGAGCAACAGCGTCAGCCCAATGCCAACTCAAAACAAACAAAAAAATTAATGCTGTGTAAAATGGGTTGAATTAGTTTGCAAACTACATAAAAATATATGCAGTAAAAAGCCTGCTAGTGAACACCAGGTGGGAATGGAGCGTACTAGTCAATTGCCTTTTCTAGTTATCTGAGCTCTACTATGTTATCATACTTGGATATCCAATTTAAAAGAATTAGAATATGACTTTTTAAATACACTTAACATTAAACTCTCCTTCTAACTCTTCTTTCTGTGATAACTCAGAAAACAGTTATTGTTCTCCAGTGCCTCTGAGTCATTGTTATAACAAAATCAGTTATCACTGTACCATGCTATAGGAGACTGGGCTAAACCTGTACAATGACAAACCCTGGAAGTTGCTTTTAAAAAAATAATAATAAAAAAAAAATTCCTAAAATCAACTCTTTTACTGGTTATGTGTCTGTTTGTTATAAAAATAAAGTGTAGAGTGTTTAAGTGCTTAACATCCTGATCATAATAAAATGGCTGTCATTCTGCACATTAAATTGCATTTCTCAAATTATTTCATGCCCTCCAGCGAACTCTTTACTCTCTGAATTACTGTCATTTCTTCTTGAGCAATCCAGCATTCAAAATATTCTTTATTTCTAGTAACAATTATCAAATTAAATAAGTAACCCATGTTTAATGAAAAAAATTAAAAGTGAAGACAGAGAAACATACAGAAAAAATGTACTGTATCAGTTAGGATTGTGTTTGGCTGCCAGGGCAGAAAGGTGACTATGACTGATTTTTACTGGGAGAGCAAAGAGTCCAGAGGTTTGCAACTGCCCAGAAAACCAGACAGTGTTACAGATAGTGCTGCAGTAAATACCCTCCTATCTATGAACATCTCAAAATATTGTTATTGTTTCTGCATTTCTGATACACATCACTTTATTCATCTTAGCAGCTTCATTTCAGCTCCTCTATTTAAATTTTTTTGTAGATAAAAGAGCATCTCTTGTTAGTTCCTGAATTTATTTCTTTATAAGGCTTCATTAAACCTTTAATACATCTTAATTGGAATAAAACCATCTGCAAACAGAAAGGCACGCCACAATTTTTGTCCAAGTTTTTATTACTGTTCACTCTTTAATAGTTTTGGGAACATGCACATTTTTAAATTAAGGCCTTAATAAATGATTTTGAAATAACCAGCTAAAAATTTGCAAAGAAAAAGAAAAGCTGGAGCCCTTCCTCACTCCTTACACCAAAGTAAATTCTAACTGTATTAATTTAAGTGTAACAAGTAAAACCAGAAGAATACCAGAAGTGAAAAAAAATGTTTTCTGTATGGTACAGAGAATTTTAAAATTCTACATATTGCTTGCATGGCTAATCAACTTTCTCATGAAATCACCTCAAATACCCTGAGTAGTACTCCAGTTCATTAAGTTGAATAAACAAAGGAACCATTAATGACAAGAACAAGATCATTTATCAGGTGCTGACTGTGAACAGGAGCTTGAGATCTACAATTGCTCATCACTAAATAACATTTTCTATCGTCAGATAAATCTTTGTTTTGTGGAAGGTCACTTAGGTATAAAACAATCAGAATAACGCTTTGTCCATCTAAATACATTATAAACAAGGTCAATTTCACTTACAATTATTAAACATTTGACATAGGGTATAGAGTTGTTATATGCAAAACAGATGGTTTTTATTCTGGTTGCAATTGTACTATAATTTTATTCTGACTACAATTGTATTGTGTTCACGTGAACCACTTTATCCCCATCCCAAAGTTCTCACATCTAAACAAGTTAGAAGCCTTATAACTCCACTAGGTGTGATCTTCGATTTCCCTCCCTTCCTCAGCATTGAAATGGTCACTAAATTATATAAATTCTTTCTCTCTATTTAAGTTGTGACATTTTATTTTAATTTTTGGAGTTTGAAACTGTGCAGCATCTTCTTTATTTAGTTTTAAATGCAGTTTCACAGTGTAATTACAAAGCAACAGCAGCAGTTAAAATTTTGTCTGAGTCACTTGAGAGGTCAGCAAAATTCTGTTAAAAGATGTTCAACTAACTGTGCACATTCAATACTTTAGCCGGTATCTTTATTTGGGAGTTTCTTGTAAACATTAAAAAGGACGCCACTCATAAAAGACATTTCCCTTTGTGTAGTGAAGTAGTTTGCATTCTTGCAAAAGATTTTAACAGTACAAGAAATGTGGTTGTCAAAGCACAGAGGGATAAATACTGTATGTACTCACTTATAAGTGGGAACTAAGAGAAAGAAGGAAGGAAAGAATGACCACAGTGGTGCACTGGACTTGCAGAGGGAGAGAGCACACCTAGGGATATAAAGTGGAGTGGGGGAAAGGGGGATGGGGAGGGAGGCCGGGGATAACCGGGTGGAGGACATAGGGTATAATCGCAATGTGTGGTATGGGCATGCTGCCAGTATGGATCTGGCCATTGCATCTTGGGATTTCTCTGAAAATTCACTAACTTTGTCAACCTACTGGATTACTTTTCAATGCATACACATTTTTCCACATTCTATGTCAGTTGAGGTCAAGTCCTTTTTTGCATTTGGCTCGGAAGGAAAAATAAGTGTAGATGCCAGGAACTTAGGGTAGGTGCCAGAAGAAAAAATGGTGCCAGCACTGGCAGTCATCAGAAGAATCAACTCCAGTTTGCCTCATTTGTTTATCAAATGTCCTGACACTGGACCAGATTCCCTGCTATTCTATGAATGTGTAGAGCAAGACTCAATGGTTGTGTCATGGCTCATTTAGAAAACAGCAAGAACCCAGAATCAGGAGTCAAGCTGTTGTGATACTTATTATGCATCCATAAACAGAGCAGCTGTTTATTTGTAGATTTATGTTCTGATATTTCACAACTGCCTGAAAGGGCTTTGTTCAGTCAATGATAAAGAGGTATCTTTTCTGTTTGCTGAGCACATTGTTTATTCAGTCACATCTTGCTAATGTCATTGCCTTCGGTAGATTACAGAAACTGATGCTCGCTTTCTCTTTTTTCTTTTTTTGTTAATAGACTTTATTTTTTTTAGAATAATTTTAGGTTTACAGAAAAATTGAAGAGATAATTCCCTTGTATCCCCTTTTCCCTGCACACAGTTTTCCCTGTTATTAACATCTTCCATTAGTGTGGTATATTTATAATAATTGATGAATTGATACTGACATTATTATTTACTGAAATTTATGGTTTACATTAGAGTTCTCACTTTGTGTTGTACAGTTCTATGGCTTTTGACACATGCACATGTATCTACTATGTATCACACAGTATCACACAGAATAGTTCCACAGCACTGAAATCTTCTGTGCTTCATTCATTCATCCCTCCTCTTCCCCTTGAAACTCCTGGAAACCCCTATTTTTTTTTAACTGTTTCCATAGTTTGCCTTTTGCAGAATGCCATACATCTGAAATCACAGAGTATATGGAATTTTCAGATTGGTTTCTTTCACTTAGCAGTATGCTTTTGAGTTTCTCCCATGTCTTTTCATTGCTTGATAGCTCATTTCTTTCATTATCACTGAATAATATTCCATTGCCTGCATGTATCAGAGCTTGTGTATCCAGTCACCTACTGAGGGACACTGACGCTCATTTCTGGCTGATTTGAACAGCCCATAGAGAGGAATCAGTGGAGTGGCTAAGGTGTTTTTTGTGTTTAAAAGATACAGGTGGCAAGAGGTGGATGATTAAAGTCATCTATTTTCCCAACACCAAGACAAAAACTTAAATGTTTATATTAGTCCATTTTTGTGTTGCTATAACAGAATACCTGAGACTGTGTAATTTATAGAAAACAGAGGTTTATTTGGCTTATGATTCTGGGACAGCTGCATCTGGTGCAGACCTCGGGCTGCTTCTACTCATGGCAGAAATCAGCAGGCAGCCAGCAGCCAGCGGGTATGAGCAGATCACATGGTGAGAGGAAGAGAGAGAGACAGAGAGAGAGAGAGAGAGAGAGAGGAGGTGCCAGGGTCCTATAAACAACCAGCTCTTGTGAAAACTAATTGAGTGAGACCTCACTCACTACCCCCACCTAA